TTTGTTTTTAACTTTTTTTTTTTTTTTTTAAAGAATGGACACTTTTAAATCTATTACTGAGTGTCCAGGGAGACTGAAATATTTCCCTCTTCGTTTTTGTGTGTTACCATTCTTGATGTCTGGTTTGTGTCTATTTATTCTTTTTTGTAGAGACTGTCCAGTTTGATCAATGTGCATGGTTGACGGGCATTGCCAGCACAAAATGGCGTATATCACATTAGTAAGATGTGCAGGTGAATGAGCCCCTGATGGTATGGTTTTATGTGGTTAGGACCTATGATGGTGTCGCTTGAGTAGATATGCAGGCGGAGTTGGGAATGGGACTTGTTGCAGGGATTGATTCCTGAGTTAGTGTTTCTGTGATGTGGTGTGTAGTTGTTGTTGAGTATTTGCATCAGATTGAGAGGCTGTCTTTAAGCGAGGACTGGCTTGCCTCCCAAGGTCTGTGAGAGAGAGAGAGAGATCATTTTCCTAGATAGGTTGTAAATTATTGCAATGTGGTGGCCATTTTTATTCTAATGAAGCAGGGGATATTTAAATCCCCGCTTCATTGACTATGTTGGTATGTCTAATTTACATGCCACCGTTGGCAGAGGCATGTAGTCAAGACATAAACTATGTGTGGAAGTAAATATATTAAACCAAGGGATAATTAACAAGGAGCAATGATTACAATATTTAATATGAAATCAAATAAAGAAAATTAACACTACCCTTGGAGTACATGTATCATCATCCTTTCTAACAACTCAAGCTAGTAACACACCGGAATGCATATTATACACACATAGCTCAGCTTTAAGATGCTAAACAAATCTGAGTCAACTAGAAATAGTATTTGCAAGGAGAGCATGACTAATACAATATTTACTGACACTGGAAAGGAGAATAAAAAGCATTCAGTAAGGCTTATATAGTTTTTCTGGGGAATGTTTAGGATCCATGCTGTAAAAACAGATAAAAGTTCTCTTTCACCTTGTGTTTGTCACCAACTCAAAGACTCAGAGGGATAGCGTGTTAGTCTGTAAAGGTATGCTACACTGCATCCCTCTTTCGAGAGAGGAATGCAAATGCAGTTGAGCGAAATTGCAAATGAAGGGCAGATTTCAATTTCCTGCGCTTCATTTGCTTAATCGCGTTTGGGTGCTATTTCAAAATACCCTATTTCGAAAAAAGAAACGCTGTCTAGATGCGGTTATTTCAAAAGAAAACCCTTCTTTCGAAATTACCCTTAAACCTCATTTTATAAGGAGTAAGGGTAATTTCAAAAGAAGGGTTTTCTTTCGAAATAACCTCGTCTGGACAGCCTTTCTTTTTTCGAAATAGGGTATTTCGAAATAGCGCCCGGGCGTGATTATGCAAATGAAGTGCAGGAAATTCAAATCCATGCTTCATTTGCAATTTCGCTCAGTTGCATTTGCATTCATCTCTCGAAAGAGGAATGCAGTGTAGACATACCCTAACTGAAAAAAAATGTAAAAACAATGAATGGTCTTGCAGCACCTTAGGGTATGTCTACACTTGTATCCTCTTTCGAGAGAGGGATGCAAATGAAGACATTCGAAATTGCAAATGAAGCCGGTATTTAAATATCCTCATTTTATGAAGAATAAGGGTTATTGCAAGGGAAGGGTGTTCTCTCGAAATAGCTGCATCTACACCGCGTTTTGTATTTTGAACTAGTGCTATTTCGAAAAAGAGCCATAACGTGATTATGCAAATGAAGCTCAGGATATATAAATCCCAGCTTCATTTGCAATTTTGAATGTCTTCATTTGCATCCCTCTCTCGAAAGAGGATACAAGTGTAGACATAACCTAAGGTGCTGCAAGACCATTCATTGTTTTTACATTTTTTTTCCAGTTAGGGTATGTCTACACTGCATTCCTCTTTCGAGAGATGAATGCAAATGCAACTGAGCGAAATTGCAAATGAAGCATGGATTTGAATTTCCTGCACTTCATTTGCATAATCACGCCCGGGCGCTATTTCGAAATACCCTATTTCGAAAAAAGAAAGGCTGTCCAGACGAGGTTATTTCGAAAGAAAACCCTTCTTTTGAAATTACCCTTACTCCTTATAAAATGAGGTTTAAGGGTAATTTCGAAAGAAGGGTTTTCTTTTGAAATAACCGCATCTAGACAGCGTTTCTTTTTTCGAAATAGGGTATTTTGAAATAGCACCCAAACGCGATTAAGCAAATGAAGCGCAGGAAATTGAAATCTGCCCTTCATTTGCAATTTCGCTCAACTGCATTTGCATTCCTCTCTCGAAAGAGGGATGCAGTGTAGCATACCTTTACAGACTAACACGCTATCCCTCTGAGTCTTTGAGTTGGTGACAAACACAAGGTGAAAGAGAACTTTTATCTGTTTTTACAGCATGGATCCTAAACATTCCCCAGAAAAACTATATAAGCCTTACTGAATGCTTTTTATTCTCCTTTCCAGTGTCAGTAAATATTGTATTAGTCATGCTCTCCTTGCAAATACTATTTCTAGTTGACTCAGATTTGTTTAGTATCTTAAAGCTGAGCTATGTGTGGATAATATGCATTCCGGTGTGTTACTAGCTTGAGTTGTTAGAAAGGATGATGATACATGTACTCCAAGGGTAGTGTTAATTTTCTTTATTTGATTTCATATTAAATATTGTAATCATTGCTCCTTGTTAATTATCCCTTGGTTTAATATATTTACTTCCACACATAGTTTATGTCTTGACTACATGCCTCTGCCAACGGTGGCATGTAAATTAGACATACCAACATAGTCAATGAAGCGGGGATTTAAATATCCCCTGCTTCATTAGAATAAAAATGGCCACCACATTGCAATAATTTACAACCTACCTAGGAAAATGATCTCTCTCTCTCTCTCACAGACCTTGGGAGGCAAGCCAGTCCTCGCTTAAAGACAGCCTCTCAATCTGATGCAAATACTCAACAACAACTACACACCACATCACAGAAACACTAACTCAGGAATCAATCCCTGCAACAAGTCCCATTCCCAACTCCTCATTCACCTGCACATCTTACTAATGTGATATACGCCATTTTGTGCTGGCAATGCCCGTCAATCATGCGCATTGATCAAACTGGACCAGGGGCTCATTCACCTGCACATCTTACTAATGTGATATACGCCATTTTGTGCTGGCAATGCCCGTCAATCATGCGCATTGATCAAACTGGACCGTCTCTACAAAAAAGAATAAATAGACACAAACCAGACATCAAGAATAGTAACACACAAAAACGAAGAGGGAAATATTTCAGTCTCCCTGGACACTCAGTAATAGATTTAAAAGTGTCCATTCTTTAAAAAAAAAAAAAAAAAGTTAAAAACAAACTTCAGAGAGAAACTACGGAGCTGCAATTCATTTGCAAACTTGACACTATTACAGTAGTCTGGGTTTTGAATAGGGACTGAGAATGATTGGCTCACTACAAAAGCAATTTTCTCTCTCTTGCTATTTGTACCTCCTCATCAATTGTTGGGAGTGAGCCACATCCACCTTGATTGAATTGTCTTTATTTATTTATTTTAGCACAGGTCCTCCACTTAATAACTTTTCATGTACTAGTATATTTATGCCTGCCAATGGATAGTCAGTGCAGATGGGGCTGGGAGAGGCAGACCTCCTCACCCTGGGAGCAGTGGGAAGGGAGGTGGCTGCAGCCTGAGCCACAAGCCTCCCCAGCCCTGAGAGCAGCAGGGAGGGAGACGGCCACATGGCTCCAGCCTCCCCAGCCCCAGAGCAGTGGGAAGGAAGGCATTTGTGTGGCACAAGCCTCCCCACCCCCAGGAGCAGCAGGGAGGGAGCAGGCCACATGGCTCCAGCCTCCTCAGCCCCTGGAACAGCAGGAAGGGAGGAGGCTGCACAACCCAAGCCTCCCCACCCCTGGGAGCAGCGGGAAGAAAGACAGCCATGGCCTGAGCCAGCCCAAGACTCCCCGCCCTCAGAAGCAGCAGGTAAGGAGGCAGCTGTGCAGCCTGAACGGGCCCAAGTTCCCCACCCCGGGGAGCAGCAGGAAGGGAGGTAGTGGCATGACCCAAGCCTCCCCAGATTATGGGGAGGGCGGGCACTGGGGATGGATTGTGGGCGGGGCCAGGCTGGCAGTTGGGGAAAGCAGAGTCTTCTGCCCCCTAAGCCACCAGCACCAGATGCCCATGTGCCTGTCTCTATAATGTTCACTCCCTGCATCTGATAAAGTGGGTTTTTGCACACAATTGTGCCCAAATAAATCTGTTGGTCTTTAAGGTGCCACAGATCTCCTTGTTGTTTTTGCAGATAGAGACTAACACAGCTACCCCTCTTATACTTGTCACAATGCTGAAAACTGTGTAAACAGGCCAGGAGTCACTGTTTATACAACAAAGCCATGCAAAAGGCACCCCAGGCTAGAGTTCCAAGACAGCATGTCTACTAGGGATGTTAAAAGTCATTTAATAAGGTAACAGTTACACGGTTACATTCACTGTGGGCTCTGCGGTATGAAGCTTAAATAAGCTTCATACTACAGAGCCCACAGAAAAGCCCCCTCAGGAGATAGTTAACACATATTTGAAGGGCCCATTCAAGGTGTAGTGGCCCTTTTACACTTCACTTATACGTTTCAAATAAACCATTAATCCAGTGTCTCTATTTGATCCGTGATTTTTAATTTCCAACGAAGTTAAGAATGTAAGATCCAAGAGTTGTTGGTGCAGGCTTTCTTTGAGGATGAGGACAATCTATATAACCCACTAACAACCACTCGACCCCACAATTGCTCTCCTCCGTTCTCCTCCCTATGACTGGAGAAGAGTTAATGAGCCAACGCGGAGGGTGGGGGGCAGAATTCATATAGTGTCTGAAAAGGTCTCTGCACACGGATGGCATTGAAGAATGCAGCGATCACATCACATACCACATGCTGATACACGTCATGGCAGCGCCACTGCATCATCTGCTCCCTGCGATGAAAATCAGTTGCCCCTTTTGTTCTCACGTTCGCGATTCAATGTTCTGTCCTACGCGCTGCCAAAGGCTCTTGTCCATGTTTGCGCCTGACAAACCGCTGGTGTCGTACCGTGTTTGCGCTGCGCGATCCCTCTGTTGCCAACCCCAGGCCCTGAACAACCATGAATCGGGCCCCCAAAACTGTTCTCTTCGCTTCCTTGATTTTTGAGCCTTTCCCGCGTACTTGGAGCCTGGTTTCTCAAGCTTGTCTCCATGCCCCTGAAGGCCGCCGGGTTTTGTGTTATACACGGAAACTCGCAGTCTTAAGCGACCGCTTGTGCACGCCAACTAGTGTGGCACTGCGGCGATAAAATCACACCCCGCTCCGTGGGTTGCTATGGCGATAAGCGCCAGGAGCGCCGGAAATGATCCCTTTTAAATTCCTTCCGCCTCCCCAGAGACTCGAGCGATTCCCCATCCGCCCGAGCCCCGGGGTCGGAACCGGAACTATGAGCGAGAAAGCAAGTTCCAGCCGAGTCCTATTCTGTGTAGCACTCAGTCCTCTTTCCTTTTGCCCCCCCCGCTCCGTGGGTTGCTATGGCGATAAGCGCCAGGAGCGCCGGAAATGATCCCTTTTAAATTCCTTCCGCCTCCCCAGAGACTCGAGCGATTCCCCATCCGCCCGAGCCCCGGGGTCGGAACCGGAACTATGAGCGAGAAAGCAAGTTCCAGCCGAGTCCTATTCTGTGTAGCACTCAGTCCTCTTTCCTTTTGCCCCCCCGTGCCATCCGCCCGAGCCCCGGGGTCGGAACCGGAACTATGAGCGAGAAAGCAAGTTCCAGCCGAGTCCTATTCTGTGTAGCACTCAGTCCTCTTTCCTCTTGCCCCCCCCGTGGTTACCACGGTAACGGAGTCGTTGGAGAAGCGAGGAGAGGGGCAAGATGGTGAGGGACGGGGCGGGGAGGGCGGCGCCGCCCCAGCCGGGTTGGAGCTTGGGGAGGGAGGATACACAGGAGCGGGGACGTCTGACCCCCAATCCCAGCGCTGACCCCGTCTGCTCTCTTCTTTCTCCCCTGTCCAGATGCTCTCCCGGGCCAAGCCGGCCGTGGGGGGCGCCCCGCCGCAGGGCGACAAGCGGAAGAAGAAAGGCAAGAAAGTCCCGCAGCTGGAGGAACTGTTGGCCCAGAGGGACTTCACCGGCGCCATCGCCCTGCTGGAGGTAACCGAGCGCTGCCCCGGGCTCACGGCAGGGGCCAGCTTAGGGGGTTCTGCGCTAACGAGGTGCGAGTGGGAGGGGCCTCAGGTAATCGCGTGCGATCCGCCCCTCTCCCCCATCAGTGCAGGATCAGTGCAGAACGCAGCCCCCGGCGCCTTGACCAGTCCCTCCTTTCAGTGGCTGGGGTGAGGAGGTGCCTTCTGGCAGACGGCTCCCAGTTCCAGCAGAGCTCCCAGTTTGGAAAAAGGTCCAGCAATTCCAACTAATTTGGCTTTTCTCTTCTTTCTCGCACCCTTGTTATGCCGCCCTGTACCAACCTGAATAATCACTGGCCCTCCGTGTGATAGAAACTGCTTCTCCTTGAAAATGTGACATTGACAGTGCCTAACTTCAGGGTCCAGGTTGTCAAGCCAGCACAAATCATCCAAATATTAATTTTATAAATGGATTTGTTTCACATGAGTTACTGGCAGGTGGTGTCATTTTTGCATCTCTTTTTCTTTGAAGTTTAAACGTCATGTTGGGGAACAAGATGAGGACACTGACCTCTGGATTGGATATTGTGCCTTTCACCTGGGGGACTACAAGAGAGCATTGGAGGTGAGATGAAAAAATCCTGCATCCTGCTGGAGAGAATCAGTATGCTATCCTAAAGTGGTGGCAGCAGGCAAGAGAGATGTTTTTTGTGCTGTGGAAGAAATGGGCTGGACCATTTATGTATAAAGCAAACTATACAGAATTGTATTAGAAAAGTATGAGTTTCCACACTGAAACAGTCTATTGGTTAGGTATCATAGTTAATCTTTGCTCAAAAGTCTAAGTTGTCCTTTTCTTAATTTCATTACAACTGTTCTTCTATTCTTTCACCTTTTTGGTATGTACACTTTGAGAAAATAATATGTAGAAAGCTTTTGTTATAATCTCCTTATGGATTGAGTTAAAACCTCGTTGCAATTGATGGGTGCAAATATACTCTTCAGTTAACATAATGGTAAGGCTATATTAATCACAGCTGCCCATCTAAAAGCAAAGGGTTATGTGAACCTACCAAAGAGGCTTGGACTGTATGGGCGTGGCTTTTTTGTGTGTGTGGGCTAGAGATGTCAATGTGTAGTCGACTAGACAATTAACTGATAAGCCTAGGCTTATTGGTTAATCTTGTCAACTTCACTCATTTTGCCCCTCTCCCCTCTTCCCCCCCCCCCTATCAGAGGTAGTGCTAGGGGGAACTGGCTTAAAAGCTGGTTCTCTCCAGCACTGGCTCCACAGTACCACCTGCTTCACTAAAGAAGTGAATTCATAGAAGTAGGGATCACAAGGGAAAAAACAATTTCTCCATAGCTTTTAGAGTTTTATACTGTGGACTATGATGACTTTTTCCCTTATAAAATTAGGTGGCAACTTTTGTTCACACATACAGGTTTAAACTGATTTTCAGATTTGGGATGGAGATGAAATTTCCCTTCTCAACCATCCTGGAATATGTCTGCAAGATTCTTGAGGATGTTTCATCTTACCCTTATTTTGGACAAAATTAGGAGCAGAAGGGAAAATATCTTGCTTGATTTTTTATATTCCCTACAGTTGTAAGGGGTGCTTAGAACAGGTGGACCTCTACATTTTCTATCACCTTAAATTAAGTGGGTTAACTACAGGGAGAAATGGGCAATAATTTTTGCAGTGGGGCACTCTAAGCATTTTGGTAAGTGGTCAGCTGCTGCACTTTTCAGTTATATTGCTGGAAGGGATGTGGGACAGAGTTTGGGTGCAAAGGGGGGTTCTGAGCTGGGATAGGAGTATAAGAGAGGGTACAGGGTCTGGATGGAAGTTAGGATGCAGGAGATGGTTCTGACCTGGGGCAGGGAGTTGGAGTGTGGAAGGAGATGCAAGGTGTAGGCTCTGGCCCTGGCTGGGAGGCACTTACCATAGGTGACTCCTGGCCACCATCATAGTGAGGCAGGTGGGCAGGCAATCTTCATTGCATGGTGGCCCTACACTGCTCAAAGCTGTGCACCTCTTGAAGGTGGGGTTTATTGTGTCTCCATCCACTGTTCACACCTGCAAGTACCGCCCCTGCAGCTCACATTGGCTGGTTTCCAGCCAATTAGAGCTTTGAGAATGGTGCTGGGGATGGGAGCAGCATTGCAGAGACCTACTGCCTCCTCTCCAAAGGGGCATGCAGAGACATGCTTGCCAGCAGCCTCTGGCCATGGCGAATCTAGGAATGGCATGGCAGGAGTTGTGGCAGACAGGCAGACTGACTGCCTAAGCACAATGCTGGGTGGTGAGACATTTTTCTCCAGCTTCAGCCTTGAAAAAAATGTTTAGTGGCCCAGATTCAGCCCATGAGCCATGTTTTGCCAACCAACTGGCTAAAAGGTATGAATTGGCATTGAAACTTTTTTTAGTTGCTGGTAATATTTACTTATGAGATGAAGAGACAGTCCATAGAAAAAACGTTTATCCTGTTTATCTATTACTAGAAGGAAAGCTGGGATGGATTTCAAATTTTGAACACTGTCTTGCATGCAAGAGTAAAAGAGAAACTGACACATTATCCAGTTTGTCTAGATCTGTTTCATTTCCAGGTGGCATTGTTGAATTCAGTCTTTTAAAAAGTTCACATATTTGTATTCATCTCTTCTGCTGTTTGCTGATAAAGGCATTAGGAGCTGGTCTCTGTGGCTTCGTCTATACTGCGAGTTTTTGCGGCAGAAAATATGCTAATGAGGGACTCTTAGCATGAATCACGACATCCTTAGCATATTTTCTATCATTTCTTTTTGCGTAAGGGGTTTTTGCGTAAAAAGAAACAGTGTAGCCACTTCCGATTTGCTCAGCCCCCTGTTTTGCACAAGATCCTTGTCTGTCCTGGAGAGGCATAAGGATCGTGCACAAAATAGGGTTTTTGCACAAAACGGAAGCAGCTACACTGCTTCTTTTTGTGCAAAAACCCCTTGCGCAAAACGAAATGGCAGAAAATATGTTACTTATGTCACAACTTCATTAGCATATTTTCTGCCGCAAAAACTCGCAGTGTAGACAAAGTCTGTGTGTACACACATAAATATACGCGAAGACCAGTTTTTAAGTTGAAATTGAAAGTGGCGTGGCATCTTTTTTTTACGCACATGTAAAGAAGTCAGTTTTTTTTACTGAGTATCTCTCCATCTACATAGGCATATAGTTTCTGGATGTAATTAAAGAATTTTTCAGTGGAGGCAACTTATGCCATTTAGCCTACTCAATTCTAACATTTAAGATATTGAAAAACTCTGTATCTAATTTGGTCCAGAATGGTCATGTCTGAACTAGGGATGTTAACAGGTAACCAGTTAAATGGTTACCTTGTAAGCATCAGCCTTAACAGGTGATGCTTACTGGGTAATGGTTAACCGACACCTGGAAGCAGTCCTGCCAGGCACCCTGCACAGGCTGCTGGGTTCCAGCCTGCGTGGGCTGGGGGCTGACTGGCAGGGGGCAGGGGCAGCCGTTGCACCCTTCGCAGGAGTCCGGAAGCCATGGTGCCAGCCCCCTTGGAGGGGCTGAGAGCAGCCAAGCTGGAGCAGCCCCTGCCTGTGGCAGGGCCACTCTAGCCCAACTCTAATGGGCAAGGGGACCACTCTAGGCCCAGTGGTACAGCCTCCCACCTTCCTCTCTTTTTAATCCTTTAAATGGTTAAACATAATATTAGCACTTCATTTAACTGTTTAAGCAATTAAACAGGGTTTTACATCCCTAGTCTGAATAATAATAGCTAAAATCTGCTCAGGGGTCTGTGTGAAATGAGTAGATGTGTCTCAGTCAGTTCCTAGTGAGCCATATATCCACGTTACAGTTGGTACCCCAACAGTTGAATAGTTTGTGGAGACTAATGCTCCCTTCTTCCCTAAAAATGGTCCCTTTACATGAGGGGTTGAGGCAAATCAGTGAAAAATGATGTGTGTGGGACATCTATACCCTTTATGGCCTGGTCTTTGTCTCTTCTATGATTTTTATTATCACAGCTGTCTTTCACAAAGCATAAAGTTGCTTGTTGCGCGCGCACACACTCTCTCTCTCTCTCTCTCTCTCTCTCTCTCTCTCTCTCTTGAAACCCTGACTCCTGTACCCTCTAACCCTCAGCCTTGAGGCCTTCCTTAAGGACCCAAACAATGCTGGGTAAATATGCTAGTAGAATATATTACATAACCCTGCAATTAACTTTTATATTGATAGATTTTCCATACTCTTGACTTGTTCTATAGTGTGAAAAGGGAACACACATTTGATGTCAAAATCTAATATGAAACAAAGGTAATAGAGTTTTAAGACCAGAAGGGACTACTAGATAATCTAATCTGACCTCTTGTGTGTCCCAGGCCAGCAATACCACCTAGCACCCTCACATCAAACCACTGAAATTAAAACAAAGTATTACTGCATATAAGAGACCTAACTATTACGTGGCACAGACAGAGAATAAGAGGGATTACACTGTGTATTAGTAGCAGAGAAATGAGTGAGATCTCTCCTTCCTGGTAAGTGACCTTTGTGTTTTGCTGCAGAAAAACTCCCAAGACTCCTGCCAATCTGACCTGGGGAAAAATCTCTTCCCAAACCTGCACGTGATCATTTAGACCAATGGGCAACCAAAAATAGGGAGTTGTTCACATGAGTGTACCTTCTTCACCTCATTCAGTCTCGGCAAGCCGTGGCCCACTGGGGTTCTACCTGCGGCCCTGTTGTCCCACTGTCTTTCTCTTTCCTGCACACTCCTTTTGTGCACTGGATACTGAAGCCTTGTACTTCCGAGACCTCCCCACTCCCTCCCAGCACTTTCAGAGTGCATGAATTTGCCTGATTTGCACTCCATCTCTGCTCCTCCCCTTTCCTCCCAGAGTTTGAACAGCCACAAACAGCTAATCTGGTTTGAAATTCTAGATGCAAATCTAGAATGGTCTGTAGCACCTCTTTCCTTTCCTGCATTTATACTTTCAAATCCCTGTCCCAATGTTATTTCATACAGCTCACTTACCTTTTTGTATTTTGGAAAAAATTGGCTGCTCTATATAAACAGATAGCACTCTGTCCAGTATCAGAAAGGGAGAGTAATATTGTCTACCTTTGGGATTCCCAAACTCTGATATGTGTACCCCTGACAGGATAGGAAGTACACAGAAAAAATTGTGTAATGGTCAATTTTATTTATTAATTATTTATTGAATTTTCATAATGGGTTGTTCAATGTTTTAAAACTCTGTGGGAGTTTATGTAACATCTGTTAGTTAGTCCTCACTTCTAATCACCATACAGCATGGGTTCTGTTTCCCAGCAATTGTCCAGTCTAACTGAGCTCAGTACTTACTGAGAGGGGCTTTTTCAGTTGTATATGTCGTACTATATGTGTATGTAGCCATCTGTCCATATTTCATTGTTAAAGACAAGTTGTGTTAAGAAGAACACACAAAGTATCAGTACTGAGAAGGGATGGGGTATGCGGGAAGCTGGTAGATCAGAAATTTCCAGGGTTTCTTCATAGCATACTCCCTTTCAGGTCTACATAATACTTGTTTTACTGTCAAATGTCTAGTTTAGCAAAGAGAAAGTGTTTTTAAAAACTTCTGTCTTTCAGGAATATGAGGTTCTGAGCAAGCAATCGGGTTGTAACCCGGATGTCTGGGTGAATCTAGCATGCACATACTTCCTCTTGGGGATGTATACACAAGCTGAACAGGCAGGATTGAAAGGTGAGGTGCATCACATTGATTGACTGTAGTAAAAGTTGGTGATTTAAAAGCCTTTACAGCGTGTTCTACAGAAAGTATTTTATGATTTGGAAAGTAAGATCTGAAACAAAAATGCAAGAGGCTGATTTATCCTAAATCTTGGCAGGTAGTTAGATGATCTTCGTGTTCCTTGTAACTCAGTGATTCTGTTACTCTAAGCTGTTTTTATTTAACATGAGGATTGTAAAGTCTCTTGCTATGTAAGAAAGTCTTGGGCAGGTAGAACATCTGGAATTGAAATAATCTAGTAGGAATACTTTTTTCCTGATTGTGTGATAACATGGATAATGGAGTGGAGAGCGTGCTTATAAAATTAGCAGAAGACACTACAGTGACAAGATTAGAATACAAAATAACATGATAACTTGGAGAATTGGTCTGAAATCATCAAGATGAAATTCAGTGAAGACAAGCACAAAGTACTACACTTAACAAGGAAAAATCAAGTGCATAAATATAAAAATTGGAATAAAAAGCTATTTAGTAGTATCACAGGAAAGGATCTAGGAATTATGGTGGATCACAAATTGAACATAAGCCATTAATATGGTACAGTTGCAAAAAAAGGCAAATATAATTCTTGGGTGTGTTAACAGGAATACTATATGTAGGCACAGGAGGTAATTGTCCTTTTCTACTTGGCATTGGTGAAATTTTATCTTGAGTATTATTTCCAGTTTTTGTATGCTATGCTGTATGAAGGGTATGTCCTTGCTCAGCACCTTGCTGAAGGACTTGGATGTTGCAAGAAAAGGTTCTAAAGTTTCCACAGCACTGACTAAAAGAGGATGGATCAGCACCCAATTCCAGGTAGAGTAACTACCTGTTTTGCCTTCCTAAAATTCTCACTGCAGTTTCACTTTGAGAAGTTACCCATCACTTTCCCTCTGCCTCAGTGTAATATTTGAATAAAATCAAATTCCATTTAAAATTAATAGTGGTAGTGGAGTGCCTAGTGGACTTCATGGAGTTTCTGACTCTTCTCCCTTTTCCGGGTAAAAGCCTTGTTTAGGGTTGGGTGTTTTGTCTTTTGGCTTGTTGCTTAAGTTGGTATGTTTGTTTTGGGGAAAAGGGATTGATTGGAGAGGGCAGGGCTACGTCAAGACTGCAAGCCTCTTTCGAAAAAGAGCGTTTAGACTGCAAGCAGTACTTTTGAAAAAGCAAGCCGCTTTTTCAAAAGAAAGCACCCAGGCAGTCTGGATGCTCTCTTTTGAAAAAGCCCTGTTTGCATTCAAGAACGCCTTTTTTCAAAAGAGCACTTTCGAAAAAAGGCGTTCTTCCTCGTGAAATGAGGTTTTCCGCCATCGAAAGAAAAGCCATGTTCTTTCGATTTAATTTCGAAAGAACGCGGCTGTAGTCTAGACTCAGGTGAAGTTTTTTCGAAAAAAGTGATACAATCAAAAAAAGAACGCATGTGAAATTGACAAATCAAATTTTAGAACAGAGTGGGCGTGAGGGGGAAAGGTAAGTTTGTGAGTAGTGACATAGGGGTGATAATTGGGGAAGCTATTTTTGTAATGGGTGAAATAATTAGAATCTTTGTTTAAACCCATACATAAAGTGTCAAATTTAAGCATGAATGACAGTTCTGAAGCTTCTCGTTGAAGTCTGGAGTTAAAGTCTCTTTGAAGCAATATGCATGTTTTAAGGTCATTAAGGGAATGATCAGTCTGGCTGAAATGGCAGGCAACAGCTTTCTCTCTGTGAGAGAGTCTTATGTCTGTTTTGTGTGCATTGATTCTTTGGCGAAGTGTCTGAGACGTTTGTCCAATGTACATAGCAAATGGACACTTTAGGCACATGATGGCATAAATTAGATTTCTGGATGAACAGGAATATGTGTTCTTGATCTTGTAACTGGCATGGTTAGGACCTTGGAGTCATGCTGAGACCCTAGATCTCGTTGCCATCTGGGGAGAAGCATCAATGTAGGAAGCTCTTGTGACTGGTCACTGGAAGTAAAGATGATTTTTTTGGACATTGCTAAGTACAGTAGATGACTGCAAAGGGGCAAAATAACCTAGATATCTATTAGTACAGAATTAAGAGCAAACAGCTCAGAAGAATGTACATTAAACTAAGGATATCAGGAAAAGATCTGGGAATGGAAATGGAATCTATCAATCTTTTGAGAAGATGGACTAGATTTTGATCAATTACAGCTTTACTGAACACCCATGCAATAAGCCCATGTGGACAAGAAACAAGAGTTATTAGAAGAGTCATTAGAAGATAAACATCAGGAAGCCAGTGAAAATCTGTCCCCAAAAGCCAGGATCTCTTTGGGACTCAGGACCCTGATGCTGGAAATGAACTGAACTCTCAGTAAGAAACCCAATTTGGATCTGAGACCCTGTTGGGGAAATCTTATCATGTTATGTTATTAATTATGCTAAAATACTTTGTTAGCTATACTGTATTTCATTTTAACAAGGGCTAAGCCAACTTGATGTTAATTTGAACATTTGTACTGCATAGTTTTGAAGGCCTTTGGAGAGAAGGAAAACTGCTTTCTGAGCTCTTCTGGACAGGAGTGATTGGAGCTAGTGTTGTGCAGCAAGAGAAGTGTTGTGCAGCAAGATGGAATCCAGTGAGTCTCTGACCCACTCCTTCTACTGCACTCACCCATTTTCAACTGTTCTGTGAAGAAATCTATATTAATCCTCTTATCTTTTCTCTTCTTCAGTTTGGACATTCTAACACCCCCCCATATGTTAGGCCTATGCACCCCCTGCCTACTGTTATGGAAGACCCCAAACCTTCTAGGCTTAAACCCACTCTGATCCATGACTTACTAATCCTTTCTGGTTGATGCTTATTCTGTTTGGAGGAAAGTGTGTGGTTTGTAAATTTCTCTCAAGGACTTGGTGGTCAAGGAATGCATGGCTGAAACTGCACTTGTTTGAACAATCAACATGCGCCACCAAGGACCTGGAAGAGACTATTACCTCCAAAGAACAAGGAGAGTACTTTTTCAGTGAGTACTCCTTGTAATAGACATCACACCACAGGTTGATCAGGGATAGGAAAACAAGGGGGGAAAACATTGTTAAAACTGGTGCTAGCTACGTCAACTCCAACCATCTTGGCACCAAGTACAGTTGCACTGATCAGTAACTGGCACTGATATTAGGTTGGCCTGAACTCTAGCAGCCCTGGCACAGACAACTGCATTTTTAGGACCAGCACCGGTGTCCCAACTTATGGGTGAGGCTAAAAGGCAAAGCTAAAACTGCATTTTTAGGACCAGCACCGGTGTCCCAGCTGATGGGTGAGGCTGAAAGGCAAAGCTAAACAGAGCCTCATCATGGCTCCAAACACTGGGAAATACCATATTAGACGGAGGAAAAGAAACAGCCTTTCTCCAAAAATATGGAATCTTAAGTCAGTGGCTCTCAACCTTTCCCGATTAATGTAGCCCTTTCAGGAGTTTGTCTTGTGTACTTCCAACTTTCACCTCACTTGAAAAGTACTTTCTTACAAAATCAGACATAAAAATACAAGTGCTTCACAACACACTATTGTTGAAAAATTGTTTACTTTCTCATTTTTGTCGCAGAATGCAAATATTGTTCTTACTATACACTGAAATGTATTTAGAGCAGCATAAACAAGTATTTAGTATGAAATTTTAGTGTGTACTGACTTTACTAGTAGTTTTTATGTAGCCCATTGTAAAACTAGGCAAATATCTAAATGAGTTATTGTACATCCTGGAAGACCTCTGCATTCAGAACCACTGATCTAAGTCATTTGCTGAGGTAGGAATGATACTCCTACCTCAGCAAATCAGCACTAACAAAGATTCTGGTGCAAACTACTTTGCTAATTTATGGGGCTGAGGTACACTCTTAGGGTGCATCTACACAGCACTCTTAGCTTGAAATAAGTTACTCAATTTGCGCTATGCAAATTGTGTAGCTTACTTTGATGCTATTTTGAAATAACTCACTATTCCAAAATTCCTCTTACACCTGGTGCAATGAGGGTTACCAGGATGTTGGAATAAGCCGCTCGTTATTTGAAATTATTTCAAAATAACAGGCTTACTCAAAAGATGCGGAATAGCTATTTTGGGATATGGGAAGTATCCTGAAATAGCTCCTCAGTGTAGACACAGCTTAAGATAGGCACCTTCCATTGTGTAGCTCTTAAGATGGGGAACTGTACCTTATGGCATCCTAATCTTTGTAGATTAGGACGGTGCTGCAGTGAAATTTAGGAACTGCATAGAGGACATATCTTGTATGAACTTCCCTCTGTTTCATGATTTGAACATTAACAACTCCTTGTATGCAATCTTTTTCTCAATACTTTCTATTCTTCCTCCCAACTGCTGTCACATACCTCTTTCCACAGAGAAGAGTGATTTGTTGCAATAACTGGACCTACATATGTACTCTAATTGTGGGTGTATTTACATTGCATACATAGGTCGAAATAAGCTATGCAATTTGAGCTATGCAAATTGTGTATCTTATTTTGATTTAATTTTGAAATAGTTTATTTCTAAATAAAGTGCTCTTCCAACAAATCCTTTAACCCTCATGAAACGAGGATTATAGGGATGCTGGAATAGCATGTTATTTAAAAATCTATTTTGAAATAACAGGCTTGTTTAAAGACTCGGAATAGCTATTTTGGGATAGCTGATATTTCCAGTATCCTGAAATTGCGCCGCTATCTAGATGTAGCCTGTGAACTCAATTGTAAAAAGAGGATATTAGTTAATAAGATCTCACAATAACCATCTTATCGCAACAAATGTCAATGAGAAAAAAGGGCAATTGACTTAACTTAAGGTCTGTGTTAAGCTCACGCTTGGTAAACAAGAAGAATGTGGATCCAGAAACCAATCAAAATTGGCATTCTGGATATTGTGCCTGATTGGTGGGCAAAATAATGAGGGAATGGGATGATCTCTGCATCACTCAGATGTAGGGGATTTAAAAAATAAACTTTAGGAGAAAAATTGGTTCCTGGAGCAAGCTTTACTATCCTGGCCAACACCCAGACATGGACGACACATCTCTTGGTTCCCTATGTCTACATCATCCTGATCCTGAAAGAAGTCTTGGAAAGATCAGACCAGAAAGAGAGATAGAAATGACATCTCTCCTGCTATCAGGTTTGGCTGAAGCCTGTCCACCACATGCAAGAAGAGACTTTGTCTCTCTCCTGCACCACTCCGATGTATCCTTTTTCCTTTCCTACCTTATTTCTTTTCTGTTCTATACCCCTTTTTCCTTCTATGTAATACGAGGCTTGGTTACCCACCCAAGACTGCATATTTTGCAACACTAAGCCTGTGACCAGAAAGAAGCAACTAAAAACAAAGCCTAATGCTGGTCAGAGTGGCCAAGATTGTGCTGGGCCAGTGTTCCTCCAGCATCGAGGTTGAAAGTAAAAGTCACTACCACAGACGAAAACTGTGTTTTCCATGTACACACATAGGGTATGTCTACACTACAAAGTTAATTCGAACTAACAGCCGTTAGTTTGAATTAACTTTCATAGGCGCTACACATACAAACCGCTAGTTCAAACTTAATTCTAACTAGTGGAGCGCTGAATTCGAACTAGGTAAACCTCATTCTATGAGGACTAACGCCTAGTTTGAATTAAGTAGTTCGAATTAAGGGCTGTGTAGCAACTTAATTCGAGTTAGTGGGTGGCTAGCCTTTCCCAGCTTGCCCTGGTGGCCACTCTGGGCACAACCAGGGAAACTCTTCTGCCCCCCTCCCGGCCCCGGAGCCCTTAAAGGGGCACGGTCTGGCTACGGTGCCCGTGCTAGGTGCAAGCCTGCCAGCACTCAGCCAGCTGACCCTGCACCTGGCATGGCATGAGCTAGCCACCCGCTGCCACCCAGCCCTCTGCCTCTTCCCGGGACCAGGCCGG